GGGGGGGAGGTTCTCTCAATAAGCTTTTTTTCTCTTTTATATTAGTAGATTGATGCAAGTGAATTGACCGAATCATATAAAATATATTATGTATCTGATTTATCGTCATCAAAGTTTGCTTTGTTAGCTTACATATGATACCTTAGTACCTCGATCCCAACAGATTTTGGGATATAGCAGTTCAATAGATTTTGGAACTTTTGTCTTTTGTCGTATAATTTATCTGCATTTTTTTGACACTGAAAAATCAAATGAAAGACAATTAACTTTAATGGAAATTCATCAAAAAAACTTTTCCTATTTTTGCAATCCAATTCATTATTCCTAGTCCTACAGCTATTATGATTCTCCTTAATAAATATAATGGTATTAAAATTAAAGCTTTTTCTCTTGTAGTTCTAATCCTGTAGTGGTGTTTCTTTCATATACACTTATTAACCATGATTAATTAATATATATAATCACCTTAATCAACTACTTGACCACGAAAAATTAATGTAGTTACACAGGGTGTGAGCAAGTTTTTCTCGTCCGAATTAATCTTCTTCTTTTTTTTTCTTTTTTTTTTGTGTTGGCAAGCCAAACTCTATATATAACTATTTGCCAAAGAGAGGAGTTATTAAAACATCAATGCAAGCTCTTTTAATTGGGTCAATATTTATTAGATTGAAAATAAAAATAAAAAATGTGAAATAAAAAATATAGCATTGAAAAGTTATGTTTTCTGGCAATTGTGATTTTTGGGTGAGTTAGTAAAACTATTGTGATTTTTGTGTTAGAAAATATAATTATATGATTTTGATTTTAAAAAATTATAGTTATATGAGCATTTATGAAATTTATTCATTCAAAGCACAACTTGTGAAAATGCTATCAATATTACATGCCTGGACTTTTCTTTCCATTATTTTTCTTCCTTTCAACTTATGGGAATGTTAAATAAAAAAAAGGTTGTTACACTTGACAAAATATCTCATATCTTTGCAAAATCAACAGTGTCCTTCCCATCATGAGCTTTCCTGAAGAAATGCTTGACATAATCCGAGTAAAGAACTTGCTTATAAGCTGGCTTTTCACCACTTTCCAACACTTCTTGTAAAGGACCAATAACATCATTTGGCTTAGGATTCACAAAAATTGGCACTGAAACTCTGTTGTTGCTTCCATTAGCAACAACACGATGTTCGATACTCTTGTATCGACCATTGCTCAGAATTTGAAGCGCATCGCCAACATTAATAACAAGCGCTCCATTAATCGGAGGGACAGAAAGCCAAGTACTATCATTGTCTAGTTTTCGCACGTAAAGTCCTCCGATATTGTCCTGAAGCAAAATGGTTAAAGTTGAGACATCAGAGTGACGCCCTACCCCGACAGTAAGTTCAGGATTCGGACATTTAGGATAGTAGTTAAGGTTGATCCTCTTTGAACCCATTAGAAGTGATTCTTTAGCTTCATCAATCTCTTTCACATTTAGTCCTTTCATTAATGCTTCCATCAATCTTTTGATCACAAGCTCTGCCTTTTTCATGAATTGAAGTGCTTCATCTCTGAGATCAAACAATAATTAGATAGGTTTTCTTTTGAATATGTTTCTTAACAAGTTAATTTCACATTGGTTCTCTAAATTTTATCCACTGTAACAATAAAGTCGCTAAACAAATATTTGTCGCATTAAAATAATTGAACTTTACTCACTATAACATTAATTAGCAATGAAATTGACCATATTAATCTTTACTATCTCTTCACATAAACACCCCTAACACATACTCCAACACTATTTACTCCCAGGGAAATGTAGGAAAAAATAATTAATTCATTCTTGAAATCTGAAAAAATCAGATATTTTGGACGCCAAAAAATTACTTATTATGGACCGGAGGGAGTAGTTGGTAAACTTCAATTAATCCAATATGACAAATATTATTTTTGTGACTTTACTATTATAGCGGATTAAGTTAATTTACTTTAATATAACAAAAGATGGTTTTTATAAGGGATCTTTATATAAATAGTCAGCTGGATTCATTTCTTACTTTTCCTAGCCGGTATATCGATTATATACCGGCTGGATACATAGATTATATATTGATATACACGATGATATACATATTATACATCGCTTATACATATATTATACATATGTCGTCTATTTTAGTTTAAGTGGTTGGATGAGCGGCTATTTAGGTTAATTTAAAGTTGGATGATTGTATGTGAAATTAACCTGTTTTTTAACTTGAAGTCGAGAAAAACATGAAAATTAAAAGAGAATGAAACCTGCAAGCAGGAGGCCAAAAATCAGCAGCTTCTTCATCAGAAACATAGAAGAGGCTAAGGTAATCTTTCCACTCTAAAGCCTTTTCAGCTTGAGGAGTAAAGCTTGTCCCAAAACGAACATTATTTGTAGAAGAGTAATCTTTTGAGTACTTTCTCTTTTCTTCAGCAGGCAAAGCAAAGAACCTATGTGTAGCATCCTTAACATTCTCAAATACTTGAATTGGAATTCCATGATTGACAATCTGAAAAAAGCCCCATTCCTCTGCTGCATTGCATATCGAATTCGCCGCTTTTGGATCATTGAAGTTTGACATATCAATGACTGGTATAGATAGTTCTTCAGCCAACTTAACATTGCTCACGTAAATTCGTTCTTCGAGTGGTTGAATATATTGCTTAGGTAGAGTCTGAATTCCCATATCTGCAAGACCTTTCACTCCATGGCCTTCATTTACAACAAAATTCTTGACATTCCATGTGTTGGAACTAAGGAGTGTTGACAATGATGGAGCCATAGTTTTTGATTATTATAACTTCAGTTATTGAGCTTATAATTTGTAAGGAGAAGTAGAAGAATAGATGGATAACTTCAAGTGGTATTGAATGCTATATATATGGTGTCTTTAAGTTTTCAAGATTGCATTCTATTGTAAGCCTACTTTGGTTGCAATTCTCATGCTTTCCTTTTCATGATAATGCTCAAGTTGCATTGATTATTCAATTGCAAATACTTGGCCTTGTACTGGTGCCAAAGTAATTTGCCTTTTGAGTTTAATTTCAATGCACTGACAGTGTAAAAACTATTTACAAAATCACCAATTATAAGATAATTACATATAAATATATGCATCAACGGTAAGTTGAATTTGATTTTTTTTTTTTAAAAGTCAATAAATTGCTATAATATGTTAAATTATACTATCGTAAAAACATTACTGCCAATTTATAAGACTTATATTCTTTGCCTATGTGATTGTAGGCCTCGAGTTAAAGTTTTTGATATTTATATTTTGCTAGAAGTTGCTGACATTATGAAGTTTATATTATTAGCAAAACAAAAGGAGCAGAGCCTTGGCATGTTTTACTCAAGTTTCAGTACTCGGGGTTGGTAGAAAGGAGTTGTTGAAATTGCAGTATGTTTAATGGCTAAAACTCTCAATGACTGATCCTACTATATGATAACTTCCTCAAATATATTGTTCATGGGTGGAATTAATCAGAAATTGAATTGTATGATCATTATGTCTCATTTTCTTTTTCTTTTATTTCTTCTATTCTTTTTTGTCATTTTCTTGGCTCTATTTCATATGTGGCATAATGGGTTACAGTAGGTGACACTTGCCATTTTATGGAGCTTTCTTTTATTTTACTATATTTTTTTATTTTTTATTTTTATTTGCATTTTCCTTTGAAAGAATTGAGGCCGTGAAAGTCACACTGTAACACTTAGCTCTAGGTAATGGGAATTTGGCACTGGCCATTCAGAATAGTAATTGGTAAAAAGGAAAAAAAAACATTTTATTGTACTTAACACGGTCCAGCCTGATTTGACTTTTTTAGTAATAACTTTGGCAGAACGTAACGAAGTGCAAAAAGTACTTATTCATCACACTTATTCCCCATCCTCTCTTCTTCTCTTCTTCGTTGATAAATCTAGTAGGTGTTACTTGTGTGTGCTAAAATTCGAAGTTTTCTACTGTTTTCAAGAGTTTAGAATTGAAAACTTTAAACCCTACTAGTTCGAGTAGGTGATTTATCTACCTAAACCCTTTGGTAGACAATTTTTCGTGTTGGTGAGAGGTAATATGCACCGAATAAAATAGTCTAGATATACACAAGCAGGTACACGCACTACTGTTATTAAATTAATTTGTAATTTAAACGTTTATTTTATTCAGTCTTTGATCAACAGTATCACTTCAATTTTTGTTATGATACGGAAATTTTATTAGTTCCCAGTTACAAGCTAATATAGTTTTAATTGTTATACTTCAATTAACAATTGGGGCGGGATGGGGAGATTGATGGAGATGTCACACATTGTATTGGGGCTGGATGGATGAAATGGAGACTCGCTTCCGGTGTTTTGTGTGACAAGAAGGTGCCACCGAAACTTAAGGGTAAGTTCGTGGTGGTCAGACCAACGATATTGTATGGGGCTGAGTGTTGGCCAGTCAAGATCGCTCATCTCCAGAAGATGAAGGTAGCAGAGATGAGGATGTTGAAATGGATGTGCGGGCACACTAGGTTAGATAGGATCAGAAATGAGGTTATTCGCGACAAGTTGGGTGTGGTCCCCTATTGAGGACAAGATGCGGGAAGCGCGGCTTAGGTGGTTTGGTCATGTGAGGAGAAGGAGCACAGACGCACCGGTGAGGAGGTGTGAGAGGTTGACATTGGAGGGCCTACGGAGAGGTAGAGATTGGCCAAAGAAGAGGTGGGGAGAGGTGATTAAGAAAGACATGGCACAACTTCAGCTGACCGAGGACATGACCCTTGATAGAAAGATATGGAGGTCGAGGATTATGGTAGTAGAGTAGGTAGTCTAGAGTGTTCATAACAGTAGTATTGGCACGCAGTCTCGCTTTCTGTTGGTAGTAGGTTTTTATGACTAACCGTTGTTTTCTTTCATTGTTGATCACCTTACTGTCTTGTTGTTTTTATTCTGCTTTTATATGGCTTTTTGGTACTGTTCCTTCTTGTGTATATTTTCATTAATGTGGTGCTTATGCTTTCCTGAGCCGAGGATCTATTGAAAACAGCCTCTCTATCCTCACAAGGTAGGGATAAGGTCTGCATACACACTACCCTCCCCAGACCCCAACAGTGTGGGATATTATTGGGTATGTTAGTTGTTATACTTCACTCTAACTCAGGCTTAGTAGTGTTATTAATAGACATTGAGAAAACGGACGACGTTTCAGATCTCAAAGTTGGAGGGGCAACTCGTATGAGTCACATTTCAGTGCGTTTCTTCTATATTTTGTTTTAAAAAAATTGACAACAGCTAGAAGTGTGAAATCACCCTATGAATATGCATCTCATCCAATTAACTGGTCTAACTTCAATCAACTCATCTAAAAGATTTTGTTCGAGATATATAACTTGTCGAAGCATGTTAAACTGGGACATATTAGTTAAGCATGTGTCTTAGTTTGATTGGACACATAATTTAAAAAAAATAAGGAAGACTTTTAAATCTTATAGTCTTAAAGTAAGGATATGTATAATGTACCAAAATGCCCTTGAATCTTGTAGTTTTAAATATGCCACATGAAAAGTTGGATTTAAACAATTACTAAATACAGAAAGAAGTATTCTTTTTTAAAGAGATTAAAAAGAAAAGTTATACACATGAATTGAAACGGAGGGAGTATGTGTTAATGCTCGGAAAAAAAATACTCAATCGACGTACGTGGGTGTATACCATATGTTCTTTTCCTTTATCGAATTATAACGAAATTGCTAGTTAGATAAATAGATTAATTGGTAACACTATGACCGACTAACAAACATCTATTTGACCAACCTACTGGTGCCACACAAGAAAAACAAGTTCAAAAAAATTAACCAAAACAGAACAGGTAGTAGTTACATGGAAAAAGGTTAAAAAGAGAGAAGGGGAAAGGAGAGAGGGAAAGGATCGTTCATTGGTCATTAGTAAAATGAGAAACACGGAACATTCCATAAATCTGGATTGCATAATGCAACTTCTAATAGTAGTAGTAAATCAATAAATTGAGAAGAAAAAATCGGAATGATAGAACTCAACCAGAAAAAATTTATGTTGCTCTAGAAACTAAGATATAGTTAAAAAATAAAAAAAAAATTCACCAGGAGAACACAACAAGGCTCATATCATAAACTTCAAACAAACTATACTGCCAACACCCTTCTAGACGACTAGACGTAAATCTTGAGAACACAGTTTTTACAGACGTACAAGTGGGGTTACTCAATGTCGCTTAATTTTGCACCATTGAACTGAGATTACACAGGGACACGTTTCCCGCGATAGCGGTCAAAGAACTGCAGAGAAGAATAAACAATCTCAGGTAAAAGAAACTGAACAAGAATTGCAGTATGCAATTGTCAACAGATGCACAAGGATTAGAAAATCAGAAGTTACTTAACAAGGTTGATAACCCCATAGCAGTCTATGACCTTATATAGCATCTCACACCTTCACCCAACTTCATATCAGTATCTAATAACTAGACATAAATGTTTAATTTATTTTATTAAAACAGAAAGGTCTCAGATAAGATGATAGTGATCAATGAAGAGGGGAACGCCCCTATTTTCTATTTCCGGGTAAAACAAAGAAATCAGGGAGAGCCTTGGCAAACTTTACAAGTAGATGTGTAAATAGTTACTCCTAACTCGTAAAACGGCTTCTGTGCTCATCTCTAAATAGGGTTAGAGAAGGAATCAAGTCTTAAGACAAGACCAAGAAGAAGTCGCCCAATATGGATCTTTACCGGATCTCACTAAGTCAGGTCATATCAATTGCCTATTTATATTGATTCATAGGACACTGCCTGAATAAGTTGAGTGAAACAATTTTAGACCCTGTTGCTTAATATTTGGTCTGGTCTAACATTCAGTCTATCTCAATTGTGGAAAATAACATCTCAAGTTGGTAGCATGGGCAGTCCAATGACAAGCTTGTAAAACATGTGCAAGAAACGGTTTGGGTGCAGAACAAATTTTAGTACCAACTAGGAGAAAGAAATGTGGTTTCTCTTAAACATTAATCCACCACACCACCACCTGATCTCCCAGGAGCCCAACAAGCCACGTGCCGACTCCTCAGTGTTTTCACTTCTGTGTTCTCTCCTTCCTCTCCACTGCCACCTTTATCCAACGAACCAAATTCTGCAGTGTAGCACCACCTCATAGCATTTTTGTCTTTTTCTCCCCTCATATAGCTATCTTTTCCCCCGCCACGTGCAATTCTCCGCCTACGTGGCTTACTCTGCTCTGTGTAACCCAGTTCTGCCTGTCACAGCACACCCTTCGTCCCCAACCCCTTATTGCAAAGATAAGGACGCGTACAGGTTGGATATAGGAGCAAGGGATTACGGCAAACACTACTTTTGAGATTCAGGGGAACACGATACAGGGGAGGGGAAATGGCAATAGAGAGAGGGGAACTAGGGTTCAGGAAGGAGAAGTGCAATAGGGTGAGGGGGAGGTGGCTACATCAGCTCCTAACGAAGGACTTCACATATCTAGGTTACTACAATGAGTACTGTGCAGAATATCCGACAGTAAGGTTTTCGTCACTCATAGTTAATGGCCACTGACCAGCAACCAAGAATTACAGAAAAATGAGGCCATCAAGTCCCTTTTTTCCTCTTTCCTTGAAATAACTTCAATATCATCGGGAAAGAACTGCAAGACTTGGTCCTCTTTTCACCTCTCTAATAAAATCCTTGATTTGTCTCATTTTTTTTCCAATCCTATCCAAACTAATTTCTAAAGAAAAAGGTTAAACACTAGGAGTGAGAACAGCATAAAGTTAGTTCAAATTTTGCCTAAATCTTATTTTAATCCATCCAACTACATCTCCATCTCAAAATAGTTGGATCAGTTATATGAATCCTCTATATCCATTGCGCTCAATACAAACAAGTTGGGTCGGCAATATTAATCTCAAACTCCACCTATGTGAGCTTTGCAAAATTTGTCTATCAAAAAAGTTCATTATATTTATAAAGGTGATGAATTTTTCAATTTCATGGGGCTTTTGCTTTTTTAAGTTGTTGTAATATTGAAATCAATTAGCCTTGGCAAATAAAAGATCTAGCTAGCTAAGTGATAATAGCTTAATGTGAAACCATGGGTAAAATGTTTACAAGTGAATAATACATAATAGATAGATTATCAGGTTGATCTAATATTTTAACCCTTTGACACCATATCAACCCACGTATACACTTCTTATATTTCGGGTACAGGCCCCTGTCCTATCTTACCCTACCTAAAGATTGGGACATCATGGCCTACGACATCTCGGAGTCTGCCCCCTCAGGTATGTACTTTGCGGCTCCCTTGGTCCTGTGGGTTGGACTTCCTCGAAGTCTTACCCTACCTAAAGATTGGGCTTATATCCACTTCTTATATTTTCCAATGAAAGATATGTACAAGGGAGTGATCACAAGTTCAAGAGCAGTAAAAAGAGTTACAGAGGAGTTCCCGTAAACCATTGGATAAGCTAACCAATAGTATACAGGATGATGTTCCGTGATCCAGGAAATTTGCAAATGATAATATGTTAATTCATGAAATTAGCAAGGAGGTCAACCGAAAGTTAGAAATATGAATAAGCACGCTAAAGAGTAAGGGTACTAATAGCGTGTTTGGCCAAGCTTCTAAAATCAACTTATTTTTAAAAGTGTTTTTTTAAAAAAAAGTATTTTTGGTGAAAAACAGTTTGTGTTTGGCTAATCAATTTGAAAAGTACTTTTGAGCAACAATTAGTGTTTGGCCAAGCTTTAAAAAGTGCTTCTAAGTGTATTTTTCTCAAAAGCGCTTTTCAAAAAAGTGTTTTTGGGAAGAAACTACTTTTTTCTGCTTCTCAAAACCGCATTTGCTTCTACTCAAAAGTACTTTTTTTCTTCTTAAAAGCTTGGCCAAACATCTCAACTTTGAAAATAAATACCTTTTTAAAGAAAAAAAGTGCTTTTGGCCTTGGAGAAGCTTGGCCAACCAGGTTATAAGATAAGTAAAAGTACATAGAATATATGTATTGCAAGTTTATCACTCAAAATAATAAGTGTGAAGTGGATGGTGTTTAAATGCAGAAAATTTAGGTATAGATTTCAGTATTCCAAGGAAATGACATGGATAGATAAAGATGTAACAATAGAACAAAATTAAGATGGTCGAAATAGAAGAGTGTCACAGGAATATTATTTGATAAGAAGATGCTTGAAAAAAGTCAAAAAAGGAAGTCTATGGAATGGACATGAGAACAACAATGTTATATGGGCGTGAATGCTGGTCCTAGATATCTACAAATGAGTGCCATAAAAATGAGACTGTTAAGAAAGGTGTCCGGTGAACATGATTAAACAAAATTAGAAATTGTTACGTTTAACAAAGAGATCAAGTAGCACACATAAATGACACAATGAGAGAACAATCAAATAGTATGACACAATAAGAGAAAATTGCTACGGTTTGACTATGTAGACATCCACCTACCATAAACTCCTCTAGGTGTGACACAGATTGCACATGCTAAAAGACAAACAAAGTAACTCTAAAATCATACAGAGTAAAGATGTGCAAATGACCTACAATATTTCGTAATAAATGTGGACTAATTAAGAAGAAACACAAAGCAAAAGATCAATATACACCATAACAACTAATTGCAATTAAGTGAGGTTCTGTTGACTGTTGTTACATTTTCATTAGGCCTGGTGCTTGTTAGGAGTATGGTGCTTGTTAGGAGTATTTAATCTGGCTAGACTCATATGTTAGCATAGCAATAGTGTGAGATATAGAGAGCCTCTAGTCTTAGAAAACCATATCACTTTTCTTAAAGACAATTTATCTAGTGTTGGAATGAAATATACCCCAATAAATCGGAATGGATATAGAAGATTTATGTAACTTCCCAACTAGCTTTAGATTGAGGCACAGTTGATTAATTGTTTGATCAACTGTTGTGGCCAAGTTCATAGATCGTAATTACGCCAATGTAATACACAAACATTTGGCACACTAACAAACATATTCCTATGGAATCAATTCATGTGGGATTAAGATCCAATATCACACAAGATTTAAACTTAAATAGAAATCTCTCATGTATAACATAACCATTAGCCACTCGAGTTGGATGACAAGATCATGACCATTGGCAACTTAATGGTGGTCTACCAGAAAGGTGGTTCCTTCTTTTAAAATGGAAGATTGAAAAGGAAAACAAAAACGATAAACGGTGCAGAATGTTTTTACCATAGCAGCAAATTTGATAAAAGAAAGGAAAATAAATCACTTCTATGTTACAAAGATGATCAGATGATGCAGGAAAAGATGGAGGTGGAAGCTTGCAAAGGCATAATTTTCATGTACTAGAAGTGATTCGGAGCATGAAATTAGAATCACCAACTCTCACATACATGTACTTTCAAGGACATAAGAAAAATAAATTGTCTTTTTGGAAAATATTCCTTCTACACATTGTTATTGACCAAATGATCAAACAAGGAGTAATTACAGTTATGAACTTATCTATCTCTATAAAAATGGTGGGGAATACTGCAACGACCCGACCGGTCATTTTGTGTATTTTAGTCTCGTTCCCCTATTTGATATTTGCACATATATGTATTTGATGTTTGGCGATTTGCGGGGATGGTCGGGATTGGTTTCGGGAAGGTTTTGGAGTGAATTGGGACACTTAGTCTCATTTTGGAAGCTTAAGTTGTAAGAGTTGACCAAGGTGTGACTTTTGTGTTAACGACCTCGGATTCGTATTTTGACGGTTCCAATAGGTTCGTATGGTGATTTCGTACTTTGGCGTATGTTCAAATTTGAATTTGGAGATTCCTAGGTTGGTTTGGCTCAATTTGCTGAAAGTTGGCAATTTGGAAGTTTAGAGAATTCCTAAGTTTGACCGGGAGTTGACTTTGATGATACCGGGCTCGGATTGTTGTTCCGAAAGTTGGAATAGGTTCATTTTGTCATTTGGGACTTGTGTGCAAAATTTTGGATTTAATCTGGACTGGTTAGGCTTGAATCAGACGCTTGGTTCGAAGTTTGAAGTTAATGAACTTAAGAGGAACTTAACATGTGTTTTGGCCGTTGATTCTTGGTTTTGATGTTAGTCGTAGTGTTTGGAGCATTCGGACAAGTTTGGATAAGGTATCGGGACTTGTTGGAATGATTGGACAGGGTCCGGGGAGGCTCGGGTGTGTTTCCGGGTGGTTTCGAATAATTTCTTCTTGGTTTTGGATTGCTAGTTTCCTGATGCGTAGCAATGCTTCGTGATTGCGGAGCTTGTCTCGCGATCGCAGAGAAAGGGAGCTGGCTGGGGGACTTTTACTCTTCGCGTTCGTGTTGGAGGTGTCACGTTCGCGAAGAGATGGGATCATAGGCATCGCGTTCGCGTGCAAGGGCCGCGTTCGCGTTGGTGTAGCGTCTGGCAGTGGAAGTGCCTTCGCGTTCGCGGAACTAGGCTTGCGTTCGCGTAGGCTAAGCAGGCCAGTGCTCCGCGTTCGCGATAGGTGTGTCGCGTTCGCGAAGAAAGAAAGTAACTAGGCATGAATTTGGCCTTTACGATCGGGAAGGTGGTCCCGCGATCGCGAAGTGTATAACATATAATTTCGGGATTTTGCCCATTCTCTCATATTTTGAACCCTAGACTTCGAGAGGTGGAGATTTGGAGAGCAAATTCACTTCTATTTTAGAGGTAAGCAATTTTTACTTGGATTTGATTTTATATCATGATTTTTCATAGATTTCTACACCTATAAGCTTGGATATTAAAGTGAAATTTGGGGGGGGGGGGGGGGGGGGGGGGGGGAAACTTTTAGAAAGCGAATAATTGAGATTTGAACCCCGATTTGGAGTCGATTTTGGATGAAACTTGTATATTTGGACTTGTATTGGAATGGGTATTCAGGATTTGTGAGTTTTGTCGGGTTCTGACATGCGGGCCCGGGTTGACTTTGTGCATTTGTACAAAGATCGAAGCTTTATTGTTTGAGGTTGTTTCCTTTGGCTTTATGATGTTATTGAGTTGTTTTTTGCTAGATTCGAGTCGTGTGGAGGTCGATTCGTATAAAAAGGTGTTTTGGAGTATTGATTTGGCTTGTTTGAGGTATGTATCTTGCCTAAACTTGGTTGAGGCACTAGTTGCCTGAATTATTGATGTTGGCTACGTGCTAAGGGTGATGTACATGCGAGGGGTTGAGCTCATATGTGTGCACCGGGTTTTATTCATGTTCGGGGTAGTTTTTAAGCTATGTTATACCTTGTTTTGAATATTTGTGATTCTTACTCTCATACTTTACATGTTGAAGATTACGTGACTTCGTAAGTCATGTTAGAGATTATGTGTAGGTTAACCTCCTATTCAGACATGATAACTACTACTTTTGAGGCGTATCCGCCTAATCTGAGTCGTAATTGTACACTTCGCACATGCATACACTTTAGCATGTTATTTTATCAGTCCAGGAGCACTTGATTTGATGTTCATTGACTGTATACATGTATTCTTGTATATGCTTTATGTGTTCTGGACTGGTTAGACAACACATGAGTTGTTCGTGCGGGTTGTTAATTTTGGCACGTGAGGTGTCAGTGCGGTTGTTATGGCACGTGAGCTGTCCGTGCAGCATGTGGATAAGGATCAATCCACCTAGGGTCGTCCTCTTATGTTTCTCCTTGATGACGTACACGTGGTTGTGGAAACTGATAGTGTTTGGGTTTTGTATATCTTCTTTATATGCAGAATTCCTTGGATGTATACATGATTTTACTGCATATCTCCTCCATATGCTAGCTTTGTACTTGTATACATGCCTTTTATGCATATGTCGTTTCTGTTGATGAAATAGTACACAATGCATATCTTCTCTATATGTCTTTCTCTATGCAATTTGACTTGCCTTTTTCGCATATCTCCTCTATATGCTGAATTATTATCATGTTTGATGTCTGTGTATCTCTTCTGTATGTGCACCATGAGCTTGACCTACAGTTATACATAGATTCTGATATTGTTATTGCGTATTCGCATGTATTCATGTCTTGTGCATATTTTATCTCATGAGTATCATTGGTGATTCTTTGGACTATTTCTCAGAGGTCAATCATGATACTTACGGAATATATGTAGTCAGTTGTACTTATACTACACTCTGCGCTTAATTGTGCAGATCTAGGTGTGGGACCTAGCTTAGAGTTGTGTTGGATCAGTGTGGAGTCGCTAAGAGACGAGGTAGATCTGCATCCCGATCGCAAATCTTGGTCTCTTTCCATTACTATTACTGTTATTGTGTTCAGACAGTACTTTTATATTATCATGCTCGTACTCCTATTGTAGAGCTCATGACTCTGTATTACTAGTTCTGGGGGATTTATTGTATCGGCACAGTCTTTATTTATGATATTTGGCTTTTAGACTTGTATTGTTTCGTATTCATTATCTTGAATCGGTATTGTTATGCTTGGCTTGCCGAGCAAGTGAGTTAGGCATCGTCACGACCGGATGGTGGATTTGGATGGTGACAACTATAGACTGCAAGATTGAGAAATGCTAGTGCAATGAAGATATTGGGTGTGAGCAAGTCAATTTTAAGAGTGGTGGACAATAAATATTGAAGTAATTTGCTAAATATTGGGTGGAAAGGGCAGAAAATTTACTGTATTATTCGTCTAATTTCTTTCATTTATTACATAGAATATCATGATATAACAAAAGTTAGTAGGGTTAGGAGTAGTTGCTGAATTTTCAGTGTGTAATTCAATGATGATCTACTACAGCAGTAATCAACACCAAAAACAAAAAATTGGTGTAGCAGGTGCCTTGCCCAACAACTCACAACATAAAGCTATTAAGAACAATTACCCCCAAAGCCCCATTCAAACAATCATAAAAACGAAGACAAAAATAAAAGCAAAACGAAAACAAACCAAAGAAAAAAAGGGATAAAAGTTTGCTAGTCCAAGCGCCACCTTAGACTTTAGACAAAACTGCTTATTGAGCGGAAACTAGTTAACAAATTCCTTGACACACACCCCAAATAGAGAAAGAGATAGTAATGCAATTAGATATATATGATTAGCAAACATACCGATCTGACAAAGGGCTGCTGGAAGATCCAACCTAGAATAGGTATCTTTTGCAGGAATACTGACAGTGTTGGCCAGAAACCACTGCACACAACAACTCATCAGCAATTCAGCAACCAAAGGAATAATAAAAGAAATTACAACATTCAAAGAAACACGAATTCAATATACCTGAAGAGTACAATGAATCCATAAGCTTCAAGAATCATTCCCAATATAGGCCAACCAATGACAACAAAGAAAAAGCCAGCACCAAATGAAGCTGTTCCCTATGGAACAAGGAACCGATATAAAGAACAAAAAAGATTAAGTAATAGAAACACAAAAGATATATCACCAAAATATCTATTTCGAGAGAGAATAAGAGGAAGGAGGGGGTGAGAAGCAGAAAGGAAAAAACACATAAAAGAAAGTAAACCTTATAGTTGCTCCGTTTCATAAAAAATTGCAACGATGACTTGAGACCAATTGTTAGTGCCACCCCTGAGAAGAAGAGGATCTGATTCAGTAAAATAACAGTGCGTCAACTGGGAGGCATAAGTAGAAAGCAAAGAAAAGTTGATGAACTAAAAGGAAAATTTAAGATAGAGTGATTGTGGCAGCATAATTGTACTTACATTTCCCATGGCAATTAGTCCCTTATCGAAGAACAAAATGATCCCCAAGAAGGAGAAAAACACCCCGAATCCCGTCAATCCTAGCCCAATCTCTGTTTCAACAAGCATCCCAAGTTTAGTAGATATAACAATTTAATAGAAAAACAATATGCTTCCATCTTTATGTTACCATCTTTCTATCTCTAGATATGCACCAAGTAGCAGAAACATCATACACCCTCTATCCCAATGTATAACACTTTTTTTCTTATTGGGATGTCCACAAGTGTAACACTATTCTACAAATAATATTCATTTATGCAACTCTCACAAGTTCCTAGATTCAAAAATTATTTAACAAATCAATTTTTAAGTTTTGATGTGATGTTTAATCTTTTCTTTCATTTCTAATAATAAATCATACAAGTTCAAAAAATATCTTAAACTTCGACTTCAGTCAAATACGGAGGGAGTGTTTGCTAAAAGATACGTGAAAATTGCTAACGTTGCACTAACCTAAATAGGAACTCTGCCAGAATTATTCATTCTAATTAAGGAAAAATTTCCACCTAAAAGCGTAGGAAGCCAGTGCCAGGAAAAATAAAATGTAACAACTACACCAAACTATACAGTTTAAATCTTTACGCTCCCTCGAGCTAAGACAAATATGATCATGATTTCCTGTATTATACAAAACTAAACTGGATACAACATATCATAATCTACACCAGCTTATTAGCTACAGGTTCAACACAACCCAGTATTTTCGACACAGAACATGAATATATATGTGTGAAAAAGCCATTAAACTTTAACAACTATGATGTTGTGAACCCATAATTTCAAAAATAAGTTGAGTGCAAAGAACTTTAAAAGTTGAAATCATCAAATTTAAATTTCAGATCTCCGTTACCATTTCAAATGGAGGCTAGACCACGACATCAAATTGGTCATAGTTCCACGAGGAGATACCATTATAAATTATAAAAAAAAAAAAAAAAAAAAAAAAAAAAATCAAAACTCATAAACACAGGTTCTTGCATTCCACATTTCGATATAGGTCAGTAATACTAATCCTCAAAGCTCATGAAATGAGAACAAAGACAATTTGATTCACAAGCCACAATTGATTGACTTACTTTTCCGATCATTCATTTCGAACGAAACCATCTTGACCTAATCCAGACAAATCCAAATCAAATTTTCACACCTGCAAGTCTGCAACACCGAATCTATCAAAAATATAGTTAATTAATCAATTATTACGAATCCAAGCGAAAAAACATAAACTCCAAAATTCCATGTCAAAACAGTCCGTTAGGATTTCAAAACGAACACTTCAATAAAGATCCGAAACTCGAACACGTTCAACACTATGAAGAAACGAACGGCAATTGAATCTAGAGAGAAAACCTGTGAAATGGAGAGATGAAAGGTATAATTTGCAGCGGATGATCTCAGAATCGAAGGATGCGAAGCGAGTTTTGATTTGGGAGTCGTCTTCGATACGAAGCAAGAGAATGCTGTAAGCGTGATGACATGTATCAACTGAAAATTCTGAATCTGATTATCCCAAATCAGTAAGCTATAACCCGTTTTCGAAAAATGTGTTTTTATGCCCAGTTGACCTGATTAAAGAATAGTCGGGTGCTCATTTTTAATTTATTTCTGCACTTTTTTTCACTTATCTACATGCTTGATATATACAAAAGGTATTTATAAATCAATTTTAACGAAATGTCATAAGTTGATCATTTTTAATGTGTGACTTTTTAACTTATAAGTGTTTTTTTATCAATCTATCTATATTATTATAAAAGCATAAAAATAATATCGGTTTACAAAAATAATCTTATAATATTAAGCATAATAACTCATAATGAAAGGACATAACCGAAATTTTAGATATTAGTCTTATAATCCTATTAGTTTGATTACTTTCCGAGTATAAATATATTATATAATTACTATTAGGAATTCTATTAAAATATGCCGACGATCAAGAAAAAA